ATAGAGTGCAGTCTTATTTACAGTACTTCACCCTTGACCCTTGGGCATAGATCACTGGGAGTAAGGCGATTTTGACAACTTTAACACTGAAAATCTGTAGTATAACAAGTTCTACAGGTCTGAGAACTTTATATGTGTAGGCCTAAAGGTGTGCCTGTGTGCAAGTAGTCGTCTGGCCACAGCCATTTACATGTTCATCTGGTTTTTTCTTCTTTATTGAATTTGTACTTAGGGCATGAGTCACAATCAGTCCGTATAGCTTTATAGTGTTTCTTATGAAGCTTTATTCAGTGTGATGCATGATGTCATGTTGGCTGTTTCAGTTTGTAGCCCTCAAAGTATCCTTAAAAATGAAGATGGTCCTTTTTGCTGTAATTTTGGAGTTTCGTACAATTGTAATGTACCTAATTGGGTTATCTCACTTATCTCTAAAGGCAAAAGAGTAAAAAAAATCATTCTCAAAAAGAGTGAGTCCCTCATAAATCCACTCCAAAAGAGTGAAAATCATTCTGAAGAGGAGCAATACAAGGGCCACTCTGTTTCGAGATGTTCTTTATACATGGCTCCTTGGAAGATGGAAATTTCACTCTTTGGAGAGGTTTTTTGCTTTTTTGGGGTGGTTTTCAGTCTGTGAAGTGGTTTTTATAAGGGACGTACTCTCTTTAAGAGCGAGTTTTTCTGTCTTTTGCGTTTAGATTTGTTGTGACCTGTTTTCTTAACGTTTACCTTGGCTTGTGTTTCCATTTCACCTTTCATACTTAATAGTCTATATCATGCAGATTTACAGTAAAAAAAATTAGAAAAATAATACAGCTCATTATAAAGCCAACATTTTGCATGTAAATTAACGGAAGTGAGAGCAAATACGTCGGTCAGGGTGGTAATATGAGAAATACTCAATGCAGTTACCACTTGCGTATTTCATTGAAAGTATCTGTTGAATCATTCTGTAAATTTGACGGTTGGTTTTAGAGTTGTCGTCTGTTACTCCCATTGACTCGTTTACGCATCAAATATTCCTGGTGAGAATCAGAATCCATCCTCAAATTATGGTATTGACCACGTGCCAAGTCTAACTTTTATATACATGTATATGTGGACATTTGTGCATGTGACGTTGCTTTGAAGTATTGTCACACGTCTATTTCAGTTCGCTGCGCTGAATACCTTCATTAATAACTCATTTTAAAAGTCTTGCAGGGTTTGATTAAAAAGCACATGCACGCTATTTGTCAGAAAGCTGAGAGAATGTGACAGACTTTCTGTGCTGAATTTTGTACTGTCAATAGATCCGTTTTGCCATGAATTTAGCAATGCAGATCTCGTCGTCAACTCAGTAACCTAAACTTTTCAGGTTTTTTTAGGGTGGGGGTCAGATTTGCGGGTCTGCGTCATTGAGCCTTCAGGGTCTTTTCTTACCATGGAATTCCATCGACCTTCAAACGGTCGCTGTATTCGTTCACCTCGTGTGTCCGTCAACTTTTGACGTATACAATACCTGCAATATTTACGACTGTTGATACCCAAGGGTTTATAACATCTGAAATTCAGATTTAGATGAACAAATAAATAACTGTGACGTCGTAATCAATGGTTTCCAAGTATTCGTGTAATGGGAAGCATCATTTTAATTAAATAAAACTATTAATTGCAATTTCTATTAAGCGACAGTTCCGTTTGTCGAGAGTCTTTAATAGATGATACTGAGTCACTTTCGTGAAAGACTTGTACATATGTGTTTGTGTAAAATGTTCAGCACTTCTGAGTTCTGAAAACCGTAGCTACTCGTTTATAACGCCAATGGGTATGTGGGAATTCAGCGTCTAGAAATGCCCAAATATTCGCTGGAAACCACTGATAGTTTTAATATGTTGTTGGGTTATGCTGGTGCCTTTTGGCACCGTGCTAAAAGTCTTTGAGAAATAGGTTGTTTGAGGTGTTTAAAAGGACACCAAAGATCGTAAATATGAAAGCACGACAAATTTACATCTCGCTCATAATGATAAATGGTCACGTCAGTAATCACGTCGAAAATTTAACGTCTTGCCCTCCAGTCACAAATATTGGTGTCATCATTCCCGTCAAAATTTCTCATCTCGCTACTGAGTCATAACGTCGGTTGCATTTTTCTAACAAGCTGCGTTATTTATAGTCACACTATTTTACTGCTTAAATAGAAGTGTTGTAGAAGAGTCCACCACATCCCAATTCTTTAACTGCAAGTCTGATTCCGGTGATAGTCAAACTCCAAAAATCCGAGTCGGACTCCTTCATAAATCAAGTACATATTTTTAACTTTAATTCAACTAAAATTATAAAGCGGTTCTTTCATGGATAACACCAGTTGGGATTCCATGATATATCCAATCATTTCAGTCAGTTCGCTAATACAGTGTGCAGGTTTCCGTCTTCCCAACTGTTGAAGAGTGTTGTCAGTGAAGAAGCCTTGTTGAGCCAACAACCGATAAGTCGTGGTATCATTGTTGATTCTAGGAGTTTCCATTCTAAAAGAGGACGGTATTTGGCTAGATTCCAACCTGAATTAGTGAGGATAAATCATTTTTGAGTGTTCCAACCCCAGGCTGTAGGACGTGCTGAGATGTTGAATGAATGTATTCCGGTGTCCTTCACACTGATTTCAGTGTCACGGTTAGGTCTTCAGTTGTTCCTGGGCATGTGCACGTCTGCACGCAGTGCATGTATCCCGTTGAGTATGAGAAATAGAAGAGTATATAATGCATAAATGCTCAGTAGTATGGTGGCCCTGAAGAGACATAAAATTCACAACTAGTTGTGAGTATTTTTGCGACGTTGTGAATATTTTTCACGCCATGTCATGAATAAATTTACTAGTCGCAAACTTTGTCGCGAATATTTTTCAAGTAACTTGAAGGGTTCGATATTTGCTCGACCGGCACGTAAAGGCTTTCTAAGGCAAGGCCGTCCGAAACAGGCCCCCGTAGCTTCCAACGTACATGTTGTATTTTACCTTATTATTATAGTCATTATATTAGTCATTATTATTGTCAGGTCTTCTGGAACAAGCCATGTGGAAAGCGAACCTTGTTTTCTGAGCCATGTCGTTTCCCAATGCCCTTGGTTTCTTTCTCAATGGAGAGCGTCACGTGGCATCGCACGTGAACAACCATGCAATAGTACACGTGGATGGTCACTGCACCGCTTTACTGTACAGAATGCACAAGGCCATGCTAGACAGGTGCATCATATATTTGCCGTTTGTTATTAGCACATTTACCCTCCAGGCTAATGGAAAAATATTCGCGACCAGTAGTGAAAAAAAGTGTACCACATGGCGAAAATATTCACGACCAGTGAATAAATTCACAATGTCGCAAAAATATTCGCGACTAGTCGTTGAAATATTCATGGTGTCACACAAATATTCACGACTATAGTAATGAATTTTTATGTCCCTTCAGGGCCACCATACAGTAGCGTTTTACGTAGTGGTTTGTATTACACTTGGATACTAGCACACTTGCCGGTACTTATTGAGTACTGAGGCAAAGTATTCAATGACATTATTCATGAAAAGTACATTCAAACGCTTAAAGGATAAATAGGCTTAAGAAAAAGATGACAAATATTGCAATGAATCATACAAGTCCTCAACATGATGACGACAATAAATGCCGTGCATGTTTAAGTACATGTACCTCTAGTAGGAAAAATGCGTTGCTTATTTGTAAGTCTATAGTAAGTAAAAGTCGTGTCCCTCCTTCCACCCTCGTTCACATATATCCTTTCTTCGTCGGACACCCGCGAATTAAAACGCACGGTACAGTTACAGTTTGAGGAAGTGTAGAATATAATGAAAATTATGTCAAGTTGAAGCTGATGCGCGTCTTTATCCTTTGGGGGCACGTCTTGAAATTATGTGCTGTTTTTTTTATGAAAGACACCCCCATTGGGACAAACCAAAGGACAGAGTTAACACGATGCTTAACATTTAATAATAATTATATATTTTCATATGTTAAATTGATGACTTACGGTTCGGATTACCAGAATATCAGATTATTCCGAAGTTAATGAAATTACTTTTCTGAGTGGCTAGTGTTAGTAGGCATTGCGTTTAAGTTTAAGTGGTAATAAAGTATTCGATTTGAAATGCTCACTATATAACTTAGCTTATATTTTGGGTATAGCTGGTCGGGTGACATATTAATCTCACCGCCTCTTTCACCTCTTAGTAACTTCTCAAGTCAAGCTCTTTAGCATCACCAGGGAACAGATCGTTCATGACTATGTTCAAAGCCCATGCAACTGGGGTATTTTAATCGGCCTTGCCAAGTTCATGTTTAGGTCACAGACGTGTGGGGAGGGCCTTAACAAAATGACATGATTTTTCTGAAATGGATATGTTCTTGATATGTAAGGCATTACTTAAAGAGATTTGTTTATTTGTAAATTGCTTTTGTTTTATACTTTGCATAATGCAAAAGAGAAGTTTATGTAAGAAAAGTCGATAAGTGAGGTATTTTTAAGGCAGCAATCACCAAATGGGCAAACAGTTTATAGTAAAATCCGGAAAATGACTTTCTCTTGAAAATGATGAAACCAGAACTGTTTACAAACTTTCAACCTCTAGATATACCAGTCCACTTAAGTTTACAAGCTGCTTTCGTTTAAAAGCATAGATCTATAATTATGTAGGCTACGTTCAACAGGCCTTTTTCAGCCCTTTAATCACTTCACGTTTGGTAACTCGCCTTTATACCAGAGCTTTCTATGATAAATCTCTTATAGTGAATTAATAGTAATTTTTTATACATTCGTGTTTAAAACGAAGATTCCGAAATGTTGAAATTCCGTGGATTAGTGAGCTCATACATTATTCTTGGGGGAATGAGGCAGTGTTTTTGTTCAAATAAGTCCGAAAATTATGTATCAAATGAACACCCTGGGGAGCCATATCTCCTTGGAATCTTAAGAGATTTTTTGATAAGCCCTCGGTTTCTGGTTGGTTTCAATTTCAGGGACGGTAGATGTGTTAGAAAAGTTAGACGTCGCCGGCACCACGAGGGGAGTAACATCAGGGGTGCAAGGGATGTGTAGAGATCGCCCCAACCTTGGCGGGGCAGTCCCCCAAGACGATCAGGCGTTCACCGTGGGCTCTGATGCCAGTCTAAGTAGAGAAGTCGGCGATATGTTTTCAGGTCTGTTTTTTGCTTTTCAGCTTTCAGACATCTTTCGAATAAACGCCTTATTCGTGATGCATTACGTCAAGGAAAGTGTGTTCATAACCGTAGCATTGCTGTTCGAGGCCATTGGAACATTTATATATTTAAACATTTTGAACATGCAGTCTCCATATTAATGGATGTATTAAATGGCATTTGGGACCCGTCTGCTGCGGTACTACTTTCCCTGCTTTCAGATTTAACATTGTTTGATTCTTAATTAAGTGCATTATTTTGTCCGTTTTTCTAAAACGTTTGAAGAATCTTGCATTATGTGAGCAGCAATCTTTACACAAAAAATAACATTATCAAACTCGGTCAACGTGTGTATCTAAATTAATCAATCACCTTGGCCAATCAGTGAACCCCCTCGAAATAACAATGTTTACGGATCGCATTGACTTATGATAACTTATTACGTAATTATATGCTCCTCACAGGTGAAAATTTTCCCGAGGATTTTTCGATTCTGCTGACGGTCAGGATACCCCCACCAGAACGGTCGAAAATGTTTTTGTTCTCACTTTACGAGGCCGACGCCGATGCCAAAATTGTTTTTGATATTGGAAGTCCATCGGTGCTACAATATGCTGACGAACGTAATAAACCTGGCAAGAAGGGATGGCCACGATTTAAACTCAACATTGCAGACAACCGGTAAGAATCCCTTTTTACATGCAGTATACAAACGTCTTTACTTGTTGCTGTTCCTTTTTAGCATTCATTTTATTTGAACCTTTTGATCAGGGAAGATGACAGGATTGACGCATTTTAGTAAACTTAAACCGTTCTCATGATTAAAATGAAACAACAGGTTTTTTTCATTCGCTTGGTTTTGCCCCATCACAATAAATATGTTTTCTTTGCACGATCTACCTTGATGATTTTTTTAAAAATAGATTCAACTTTCGAGTTTCGAGTCGAAAAACAAACCTGATGAAGTTTCAGCTCGGTGTGTGCTGTATATATTTATTCAATGATATCAATTTTAGATCAAAAGTTGCTGAGTCATGTTTTGAATACGGCGCGATTCACAATAGTGCGCCTCCAAGAGTTTCCTAACGCGCATTGGGTCGACAGATAGATTCCGCGCACTGTGATTGGTCAACACGTTGCAAACTCTTGGAGGCGCACTCTTGTGAAACGCCCGCATTGCGGCTGAATTCAGCGTCTGTGACACGTTTTCACGTTCAGTCGAATTCAGCCACGCAATATTACGGACTGAACGAATTTTAGTAATCGCGCGCGTGTGTCGTGGCAACGCTTTAATACACGCGCTTCTTTTTCCTAAAATGCGTCTTTAGACGCTTCGTTGGAAGTGGCCCTCTTTCGTAGTCTTCTTCAGCTTGGCAGAAGGAATCATTTCACAGGAAGTGTAGTCCCATCCCACAACCATTTTTGAATTATATGTTTGCTTTTCAACATCTGCTACATTTTGGATAACTGCAAATTATGGACTGTACCTTTATTGAACATCTACAACTGCTCGTTGATAGATGTAGAATTTCATCGTAGAAGAGATAAAGATGATAAGATAAATTGTGTTGCTGTCATCGTTCTTGAAACGATAAGAAAATCGTAACATGAATTATGGTAGGGAACTTGGATGTTTCATGGTTAAATCAAAAGGGTGCGTTTTCAATTGAATATTTTTCTTCCGTTGGTAACAAGGTCAACACATTGAATTTGAACAGATTTGTGACTGCTGATATCTAGAAATAAAAGATAAAGTTATCTCTTCCATGTCGAGATCCAACCTTGCTTCAACCGTGAAACAGTTTACGCAACAAGAGTCGTGTAACAAACTTGTAAAGGTAGGACCTCTGTGTTTACCAAATTCAAAACCATTTTGTTTTGCGCGTGGCGATGCCCTTCCTGTCTATTGGCTGCTTATCCCAGGATCCGCTGTCGCCACGATGTTTTAGTAAGGGAATAAATATGCGCTTGCGGCTTGGGAGAATGAATGCCACTCAGGCATTATCAGCGTACGGTCACCTGAGTGGGACTTAAACGGACCAAGAACATACTTATACCCATTCACAAATACCTTTTTTCATCGGAGAGACAAAAGAAATCATTATATGACAGATTTTCAACGAATAAGGGAATTAGTAGGTGCTTTGCCTGTCTTAAACGTGCGGCTCTGGCGTTAGTCGCGTCCATTCTCCTGAGACGGTTTTAAACGTTGGTTTATGATTGGCCTAGCAAATATTTATTCTCATTCATAAATACCTTTTTAGGCTGAGAGTGAGAAGAAGTCAATTAACCATAAATTTCCAACGATTTTGTTCCAGAAATTTTCCTTCATTTTCCCAAACACCCCTGTCCATTTGATTATTCCTTGAGCCAGCATAGAGTACTGAAGTGTGAAGTCTCTGTTAACCAAAAAGTGTAGTACAAACGAATGGAGTACTGCGCATGTTGGTTCATGCGCTGATTGTCGCTCAAGCCAAATGCCTTTTACACACAATTGTGCGGTGACGTAGTCACGTCGGTACTCTATATCTGTAGTCTAGTCCTATATCAGGCACGAAATGGAACAGAAGTATATACCCCAACTAGTCCAATCATGGTCCAATCCATATGCACACTCTAGCCTATTGTTACTTAACACCCCACCATGTCTGAAAAGAATTCATGAGATACCAGTATAACGGGCCAACACGAAGGCGGGGGAGTTCTCTGTGTCGCATATTTTGCATCAAATAAATAGGGTGCGTTCGATTAACTTACACGTGTAAGTCAAACTTACACGAGAGCGTTCGTTTAGCCATCACGTGATTCTCGTGCCTGCCCTGGTGTCAGCCTCTACTACCCCGGCGGGCGAGCGGGTCTCTGGAGGCTGCCCGAGTGTAATGACGTCACGGATGAACTGTTCGTGCAATGACGTACATGATGGAACGTGGCGGGGACTTCACCTTTTTCCCAGAATGCCTTGGCGAGTACACTGCAGCGTTCGATTAACCTCATTTCGAGGCTTCCCTTGGTGTAACACTGGTGTCTTCAGGAAAGTTAATCGAACGCACCCAATAGTCCAGAAGAATCTCCGTAATTTGACTTGGCGCGCGTGGCGCGTTCTGCGTGACGCGACACCCGCAGACTCTTGACCAGTAGGAAAGGATTAAATTGTCTCGTATCTAGGTGCTAATGCGTTTTTTTACACGGCGGGCATTATCAAATCGCAGTGGGCTTTTAATTTTAAATGAATATTCATAAATACCTTGCACAGTTTTCCTACTTAACAACGCGGAACACTTGCGCAGTGTGCGCCAACAAACACCTGGTCACACTGTTGCACAGCAAGTCTTTCGCGCGCCGCCACATACTCTCGGTGACGTAAGCGTCTTCATCCTGCGGAAAGCGTCATCTGATGTACAGCGTAAGGAACTGGAGCAGCGCGTCATTTTCAAACTTGGAACGCTGCATCCAGGGGGAAGGAACGTGGATTTTTCCGTGTTCATTCAGAATTGAACCTGCTTGCCCTGAAGAAGGTACTCAGTTACCAAAAGCTCGGCAATCACATATTTCAGAGCACTGATTTGATATTATATTCTCGTCCATGTTAGGAGATTCTTCTGTACTATTTGGACAAGGAATATACAATAAAATGGACGGGGGTATTCGGGAAAATGAAAGTCTTGAACACACAAAAATCCTTGGAAATTATCGTATATTTACTTGTTTTGACTCTCTGACTAAAAAAGGGTATTTGTGAATGGGAATGCATAATGTTCTTGGCACTATGGTACTATGTACATCATTGATGCATTAGTCGCGTCCAATCTCCTAACGTACGTTTAAGACGGATCAAGCAAATATTTATTCCCTTATTTCAGTATAGAAGTTTATTGCTGTGAACTGCCGGCACCTTTCGACACAGTTTTATAAAATGTAGCAATCCAGAGGAGACACAAGAGTATATCGACCAGCAAGCGGGAGCAACAGAGCCCGGGTCTGCTGATTAACCTTGCGACATCTAGCCTTGTTCATGTCGGCATGATGGAGTCTAGGTGACCAATGGGTCCATTTGCTCGACACATGTAAATTTACGAAGCAGTAGCGTGACGCTGTTGCCTTAATACAGCCACACTGTTACCCCAGCACGAGCCACGGAGCTACCAATCAAACACTAATTAACTGATCTTCAAGGAATAATTTCTTGACATATTGCACTGCAGCGGGGTTCCACTGTGTTTAACCTCCATCTTACTATTTCTTCTTTGAAGCTGTTATTGATTTAAACGAGTTGGATGATACTTTTTGTACACTGTATATGTCCAAAGGTCGTTGATTTTCTTCCCAAAGTGTCAGTAACAAGTTTTATTGTGCAGGACGAAAAAGTCGCAATACGGTGTTGATGTTGAAGTTGCCACTCACCACAACACTCACAACAAAAACTTGTCTTATTGACGAGGTAAAACTTTTAAAGGAACAACTTTTCAGTGCTTTCCAAGAGCCTGTGAAAAAAGTACACGTTTGCACCTTCGGATTCAGCCACCGACCTCCTGCTACATGAAGTGCAAACGTCTCATCACTCGACCACCGAGCTTGTCGAGGTTGGATCGTTGTTTCGAATCGATACGGCCGTGTGCACCAATAACTGCTCAGCTATTTGATGGGATGGTGTCAGTCTTTGTCAGTATGGCAAGATAAAGGCTAGTTTTGTCACCATGCCTAGAACCCAACAATTTTTTGGTTTCCAGTGCGATAGTTGATAGTCTTGTCTTCTGGCTATGAGTGTACGAATATCTTGTCAGTATCTTGCGAATTGCCAGAATGACAAACGGAACTTCTTGTATTCTACCGACATGGGACGTTCTTGTTTATCAGAACCCACGCATCGAATGTTGATATTCGCTTAAAGCAGAATGACAACACTCAGAAAGTGTGATCTGAGCTTATCAGGGGATTTATTTTCAAGGAAACTTAAATTGTTCAACACTGACCGGGGTAATTATAATTTTTCACCAAAGTGTGATGTAATTTGTTGTTACGTTCTGTTGTTCCGCGGGGCCAATGACCTAACGGATGCGGTAGATAATCTCAACAAAATGAATAGAATCACCAATCTGTCGGATACATCATTGGTGTTACTCCTGAAAATTTTAGATCTATCTGCGAGGCAGTTCTACTGGCAACTATGCACGTGACTTGCGTTTATGTTTGTCGCTTCACAACTCACGCATACGGACAACGACGCGCCCTGAAAATGTGTCCGTAATGCGCCAGTTCGGTATTTCAAAACGCAAAGTCTTTCAGCAACAAAGACTAGTACCAGACCACCGAGCGTGCGTGTAGCTTTTCCCAAATAGCTTCGTACTGAGCATGCGCAGTTGGAATACCGAACTGGCTTATTATGGAACGCGCGTTATTAAGTCCGGCAGATCATGTCAATGCACATCCCACACTTAATCATTATCACCTGTCCTTGGTGCCCAGTGCTTGTCAGGTGAGATCGTGGATAATTATATATATCAGCCGATAGAATCGACAAGGGAGAAAAAAACGGGATTTGTTTTATTGCGACTGGGATGGCTCATGCAGTAACAGGTTACAAGTTTTATTTTTGTGTACAGTCTCCTTTTGACGTGGACACCTATACCTTTGCTTACTGGAAACAGTTTAAGAATAATTACATTCTGTTGATAATGACCACT